TGGGTGTCTGTGGGCTTGCACTTACGCGCTTTCGTCATACGTGACGTAACCATGAACGTAACTAAGCAAATAGCGGCTAGCAGCGTCTCTTTGCGACCTGCAGTGTGGCGTTATTTTATGTTTTTAATTTGTACACTTAGTGGCGTTATTTTATGTTTTTAATTTGTACACTTAGTTTACAAACATTCTGCCAACCATGGATTTCGAGTGGTGGGTTTTGGACTGATCTTGTTGATCGTGTACATACCCGCTACGAACGGACTAAATAATGAAAACGTTGCTGGCAGCGGAATCCAATACAGCTGGGAGACTTGGCTGGATGACAGAGTCCCGGACAGAGAAGTGGAGCCGGCCGGCTTCACCCTGGTCGGAGCGGACCTCGATCTGACAGTCACAGGGAAAATCGATCCTGGTAAGAGAGCGACTCTGTACCCCCGAGCCCCGACATTGAACTGCTTTCTGTGTCACTGTGACCTTACTATCTGCCCCGTGAGTTCCCCCAATTGTTTGTTACCGTTGTGTACTGTTGATAATCACAAGTTTACTGGAGAACTGAGACCAAGTAGAGACTTTGGACAGGGTGGATATGCACAAGATTTTAGTCAGACCAAGCTATAACATTATATATTTACTACGACAGTACATTCAACCAAAAGCTAATATAACAAAGGCATCAGAGATTATTTATAATCTGTCACAGAAACTGGAATCCATCTCCCCAGATCAGTCAATAAATGCTTCTGGTATTGACTTATATGCTGCCCCTGTCTTCATGTTGTTGCTGGACATATCTTTTTTAAAATGTGTGTAGGTCACCTAAATCATCAGAAAAATTGCCCCTCCTGAGAATTTTTTCAGGAGCCGCCACTGGCTGGAACACAGGCAGTCAGTCAGAGCCTGGGTTCTAGGAGCAGGAAACCTTTTGTCAGCAGATTTTGGATAACACTGCACAGATGACAGTCAGGCCACCTTATGTTGTCATCTGAGAGCGATAGAGAGAAGGATAGAGGGAGGAGATCTTCTGGAAGCAGCCAAACTATGGAAGGAGGGAGTAGAATGATAGGAGAGCACAGAGCAGATAGAGACAGGAAAGCATAGATAGAAGGATAGAGAGGGACAGAGGATAATATCTTCTGGGAGCCAGTTAGTGAAGTATTGGGTAGCACTAGCTTGAATGGAGACATGACATGTACAGTGTAATGTTACGTGTCTTCTAGGTTCTCTTCCATCAAAAGAGTGACAGATTTGATATTGTTATTTTATCACAGGAACAAAGTAATCTGCCCTGGTAGGGAAACTTAACTACATGTGCCCTCTAATACAGAAAATACCAATTTATTAGTTTAAAAAAAAAAGATGGATATACTAAACTGTTCAAAAGACATTATGAATACTAAATACTCTAGTACTTCGAATTAAACAGAAGTACAGTCAGTGTAAAATAGTTGGGATCTTATATTTGAAATAGTTCAAACAGACATGTACCCAAAATACACATTTAGTCTGGACAGGCATCAAACTTCGTACCAACCATCAGTGGTGGAAAAAGTACCCAATTGTCATACTTGAGTAGAACTATAGATACCTTAATAGAAAGTTACTCAAGTAAAAGTGAAAGTCACCCAATAAAATAATACTTGAGTAAAAGTCTAAAAGTATTTGGTTTTAAATATACTTAAGTATCAAAAGTATAAATCATTTCAGTTTCCTTATATTAAGCAAAGCAGACGGCACCATTTTCTTGTTTTTAAAATTTACGGATAGCCAGGGGCACACTCCAACACATAGGCAGTAGGGATGACCATGTGTTCTCTTGATAAGTGCGTGAATTTCACAATTCTACTGTACTTTGGGTTGTCAGGGAAAATGTGTGGAGTGAAAAGTACAACATTTTCTTTAGGAATGTAGTGAAGTAAAAGTAGTCAAAAATATAAATAGTAAAGTAAAGATACACAAAAAAACTATTTAAAAACAAATACTTTAAATTAATTTTACTGAAGTACTTTACACTACTGCCAACAACGGCTGGCAGAATCCTCCTAAAAAAGCTTTAATTATCCCATTAACTGCATTGAGATGGAATGAGCAAACAAAATATATATAATGTTGCCAGGCTGGATAAACACTGTATTATACACACCGCCAGGCTGACCTTCGGGGGCCCCACAGGGGTGTGTGTTTAGTCCCCTCCTGTACTCCCTGTTCACCCATGACTGCGTAGCCACGCACAACTCCAACACCAAGTTTGCTGACGTCATGACGGTGGCAGGCTTGATCACCGACGACAATGAGACAACCTACAGGGAGGTCAGTGACCCGGCTGGAACAACAACCTCTCCCTCCCTCAACGTCAGTAAGACCAAGGAGCTGATCGTGGACTACACGCCCCCATCCACATCGACGAGGCTGCAGTGGAGCAGGTCGAGAGCGTCAAGTTCCTCAGTGTCCAAATCACTAAGAACTTAAAATGGTCCACACAAACACGCAGTCTTCCCCCTCAGGAAGTTGAAAAGGTTTGGCATGGGCCCTAAAAAAGCTATACAGCTGTACCATTGATAGCATCTTGACTGGCTGCATCACTGCTTGGTATGGCAATAGCACCGCCCTCGATCGCATGGTGCTACAGAGGGTGGTGCAGACAGCCCAGTACATCACTGGGGCCGAGCTCCCTGGCATCCAGGACCTTTATATCAGGCGGTGTGAAAAGAAGGCCCGGTAAATCGTTAAAGACTCCAACCATCCAAGCCATAGACGTCTCTCTCTGCTTCCACACGGCAAGCAGTACCGGTGCATCAAGTCTGACACCAACAGTCTCCTGAACAGCTTCTAGCCCCATGCCATAAGACTGCTACACAGACTGAGTTGACCTTCTATTTTATTATGTGTCTCTGCACACTCACAGGGCCCTACACACTACGCACACGGATACTTCAACACACATTCAAACACGCTCTCCATCATTTGCTCACACATACACTACCAGTCAAAAGTTTGGACACTCCTACTCATTCAAGGGTTTTTCTTTAGTTTTACATTGCAGAATAATAGTGAAGACATCAAAACTATGAAATAACACATATGGAATCACATAGTAACCAAAAAAGTGTTAAACAAATCAAAATATCAAAACCCAGCCGCGAGCTTCCCAGTGACGCGAGCCTACTAGATGAGCTAAATGCATTTTATGCTCGCTTCGAGGCAAGCAACACTGAAGCATGCATGAGAGCACCAGCTGTTCCGGACGACTGTATGATCACGCTCTCCGTAGACGATGTAAGCAAGACCTTTAAACAGGTCAACATTCACAAGGCCGCGGGGCCAGACAGATTACCAGGACGTTTACTCAGAGCATGCGCGGACCAACTGGCAAATGTCTTCACTGACATTTTCAACCTCTCCCTGACTGAGTCTGTAATACCTACATGTTTCAAGCAGACCACCATAGTCCCTGTGCCCAAGAAAGCGAAGGTAACCGTGGACTACAGGAAAAGGAGGGCCGAACATGCCCCCATTCACATCGATGGGGCTGTAGTGGAGCGGGTCGAGAGGTAAGTTCCTTGGTGTCCACATCACCAACAAACTATCATGGTCCAAACACACCAAGACAGTTGTGAAGAGGGCACGACAACACCTTTTCCCCCTCAGGAGACTGAAAATATTTGGTATGGCAACTGCTCGGCATCCGACCGTATGGCGCTACAGTACATCACTGGGGCCAAGCTTCCTGCCATCCCGGACCAATATACTAGTCAAAGACTCCAGTCACCCAGGTCAGACTGTTTACATTTACATTTTAGTCATTTAGCAGACGCTCTTATCCAGAGCGACTTACAGTTAGTGAGTGCATACATCATTTTTTTTATACTGTTCTCTCTGCTACCGCACGGCAAGCGGTGCCGGAGCGCCAAGTCTAGGTCCAAAAGTCTCCTTAACAGCTTCTACCCCCAAGCCATAAGACTGCTGAACAATTAATCAAATGGCCACACGGACTATTTACATTAACCCCCCATTTGATTTTACACTGCTGCTGCTCGCTGTTTTTTTATCTATCACTTTACCCCTAACTACATGTACAAACTACCTTGACTAACCTGTACCCCCGCACATTGACTTGGTACCGGTACTCCCTGTATAGAACCTTGGTATTGTTATTTTATTGTGTTACTTTTTATTTTTTACTTTATTTAGTAAATATTTTCTGAACTATTTCTTGAACTGCATTGTTGGTTAAGGGCTTGTAAGTAAGCATTTCACTGTAAGGTCTACACCTGTTGTATTCAGCACATGTGACAAATTACATTTGAAATCTACCTCTATTGATCCAGTATCCCTGCACATTGTAAATATGGTACTGGAACTGACCCTGTATTTAGTATGCTTATTCACTTTATCGTTTTCTTATTTTTAGTATTACATTGTTATTCATTACTGCATTGTTGGGATTAGAGCTAGCAAGAAAGGCATTTCACTGTACTTCTGCATGTGACATTAAAACTTGAAACCTGAGCGAAGCATGATAATACCACTGTTCTGCTGCCATCTAGTGGATATTTGGGGAACTGATACAGAGTCAAAATGCCATTCAACAAAAAATGGAAAAATGTTTAAAAAACATGACATTTATTCCATACAAGGGTCTGTGCAAAACAACTTGAAAAGGAAAAGAGAAGGACTGTCTTAAAGGGGACACGATCAACATTTTCAAGACCACAAGTTCCCACATAAGTTATTATCAAACATCATCCAAGGATAGTATTTTGAGTTGAAAATACCAGACTACAAGGACATGATATAGAACTGTGCTATCTTTCCCACATTTATAATATGACAGTAAACTTTTGCAAGACTGCATCATCCCACAACTAATCAAATTATTCCCATCCACACTTCAGTGATGGCAAACCGTAACAGATAAATTAATGATGTGGAGGGTATTGGCAACATATTTCCTGTTAATTGTTTTTAGTGTCCAGGGTTCCTTTTTCTAAACTGTGTGTGTGTGTGTGTGTGTGTGTGTGTGTGATACTGTTGCATACTGAACAATTAGGCTACTTTAAGCAGACAAACACCATTATCATTATACCACCACCACATTCAGTACAGTGTGGTCACTTCACAGAATGAATAAAACACTGTTCGCGACACTCAAATGGTTCAAGTTGAATCAACACGAGTGGCATTGAATTTGGCAAGCCCATTATAAACTGATAAACTGCCATTTTGTATCATCATAAATAAACATAAAATATGTTGTCCCCAACCTACATCAGACAGTACATTCAGATACCAGTCAGGTCAACACCTACCGTATGGACACACTCCACCTATATAACTAGTCAAACTTACAACAGGACAGTGAGTCAGTCTTTCTGAATCGTTGAATCAGTTTTGACAGACCGACAATACTGACGTAACCGTTCGATAACGTCTTCTTTGCTAATGTTCTTTGGCAGTAATCCTCTCTTCTCAATTTGTTTGTTAACTGTGTGTGGGTTTGACTGTTCTTTGTTTACATTTCCCTTAAGGAAAAGCATCTCAGTGAATCTTGGATCTTCCTAATCGACCCTCTTGAACTCACAATTCATCCTGCAGAAAGAAAGAACGAAAAGTTCATCGTTTTAACATGCTATTCAAATATTACAACATGATCCATTTTGATTACATTTGCGGTGGTGAACATTCACGGATATACTGCGACAAAGTGAGGTTGATAAAATATCTCATATTTCAGTTTGATACTTCGATATTCTGAGCCAACACAATCCACAATCATTTCAGTCAGACTATTAGCAGTCGTCTTGGCTGAATTAGTTAAGCCAGTAAATCCAGAGGCCAGAAGCCAAACTCTCACTTAAAAGTCTATGCCAGAGAATAATATAATTCTGCTCGACTGCAAAAAGCAAGAGGTAGCTAAGATTAAAAAGCAACATGGTGATTGCAGAGTTGCTGAACCGCGTAAGAAGCTTACCTTGAAGTTGGCGGCCTTGCCATGTAACCATGGAGATAGCTGCTGGAGCCTCTGACGGAGGAGGTCGGCGATGTTAGTAGCATCCCGGCTGTTGACGTGCTCCCCTCCCTGGTCACGCTGGGGGACAGAAGGAGGTATGATAGAGGGACGGAGGGATGGGTAGATAGAGGGATAGATGAAAGGATAATGGAGGGAGGGATGGCGGGATGGAGACGGAGAGGAGGGATTAGTAAGGGGAACAGTGCTCTGAGGTAGAGTTATTCTCGGGTCCAAACAGTTGGACCCATTCCGAAATTGACCATTTTTTTTTTATATATAGAGACCCGTTCCGAACTGACCCAAGGACAACTAGACCCGTTCCGTATAGACCTGGTTGGATCCAGACCCGGTCCGATCAGATTGAGGGAAGCAGCAGAAAAGTACTTTTTTACGCTACTTTATTAACTGGAGCTGATCAAGCGAGAGGAGGGAGAGGGGTGCTGCTCTAGCAGGCGGGGGAGGGGCCATACTGTGAGCAGGGAGGGAGAGACAGCAATCAACCAAGCCGACTCGTGCTAAAGTAGACTAATAGCTGCCATAGCTACAAAATGTATCATCAAATAGGATGACATAGTACCCATCTTCACTGCATCATACCGGGAGAAGCTTGCTAATTTTAACTAGCTAGGCTAATTGAAGCTGCAGTGAATGCGCTTTCTCATCCTACAGTTACAAATAACAACAACTCCATTCAGAATATTAAGTAGCAGCCAACCTGTTGTCTCTTGCAGTGGAGGCTGCTGAGGGGAGGACGGCTCATAATAATGGCTGGAATGGAGTCAATGGAATGGTATCAAACACAAAGACGTGGTTTCCTTGTGGTTGATACCACTCCATTGACTCCATTCCAGCCATTTTTATGAGCCGTCCTCCCCTCAGCAGCCTCCACTGGTCTCTTGGTCGTTGTAGCCTATCCTTCTCCTTTAAGTTTTAATTCCGTCATTTTTATTCCATCTTCCATTGATTAGATATCTCCTAACTTTTGCCAGACATGGAGGCTCTGACTGTAGCCTATTGCCGCTTTGATGACTTATGATTGGCCAACAACAACTTTCATTCTTGTGAAAGCAAGAGCAGCAGCATAAATGATAACATTTCACTCTACTGCAGCAGTCGCGTTCGGATATGTACGGGCCCTTCCGGACAAGTCAGTTAAAATTACACATACCCGAGACCCGTGGCAATCATCAGATCTGACCCAGACACCCATGACATTATTTAGAATTCTTGATCCGGACCTGCGCGGGTCCCAGATTGGGTCTCGGGTATTAGGGTACAGGTGGATCCATGAAGACCTCTACTAAATGGTAAACAACTTTAGGCAAGAGGTTCCCAAAGCAAAATACTAAATAAATAAATAAATATACAGTTTAACAAGAATATCTTCCTACTTTTCTACCAACTTCTGATACATAGTAATCAAATGTCTAACTTGTAGCGTGTTTTCCAGTCTAACAAGGACAGGAAGATGTCAGATACAGTTTGTTTTCATCATAGCAGCTTATTTGTATCATTGCACCCTCTTGGTGAAGTTATTGTACAATAACGTGTTATCTTCTCAATAACTTACCTGGATAAATAGCTAATACATAAAAAACTACCAATCAGGAGTCTCTTACCTTCTTGGTGACCAGGTGTGGGTAGAATCGGACGCTGGGATAGGCTGTGATGCCGGCTGATTGACAGGTCTGGTAGTGGGCCTGACAGTCTACTTTCCCTGCCCTCACGCTTCCTTTCACCATCTAGACAAAGACAAAGTCTGCATTAGAAAATGGCATCATATTCCCTGTAGTGCACTAATTTTGACCAGGGCCCATAGGGCCAAAGCCGCCCGGTGTTTCTTTCCCCAGTAGAGATAAAGTGTATGAATTGCCTGACTGGCTGGGCTGTGGGACAGCGGTTGTTCAGTGGCTGTGCAGTGATAATTCAAATGGAACTGTTAACAGGCATAGCCCGTGGATTATTGTGAAAACTAACGGCTATCAAACAATCAGCATCCAAACTACCTGTTTTATAAATAGTGAATAATGTGCCATTTGGGCACAGAAAATAACATGGCCGCCCAGTGACTCAGACACTTCAGAACCATTACATTATTCAGAGCAAAGACACACAAGGCACTCCACTGTTACTGTTAAGCTGTTACCAGCCTAGCGCTGGAAGCACAGTATGAGTAGAGATGCAGATACAATAACTTCGCTCTACCATAGAAACACAGCCGCTTCACATTAAAATAACAATGGACTCATATTATAAACATGAATATGAGCCATATTCATGAAGTGTCTCAGAGTAGATCAGTTTAGCCATTTATATCATAATTATTATGATTAGCCTACATGGACAGGGGGGGGCCCTGATCCTAGATCAGCACTCCTACTCTGACGCTTTATGAAAATGGGCCCAGAAACAAGTGTTTGAGAGATGGTGGGAGTGGAGAGGATATCTTACCCGAGCGAGGACCTCGAACTCTGGGGCAAAGTGCTGGCATGGCCCACACCACGGAGCATAGAAGTCCACCACCCAGTGATCCTTCCCTTCCATCACCTTGTTCCTGAAGTCATCTGGAGTCAGATCCACTGACGCTCTTGGGAGAGTGCTAAGACAAAGACAGACTGCATAAATTCCTTTCTGTTGAATACAAAATCAGATACAAATATTCCTCTAATAGTGATTGATAAAAGGCTAGGACATAAGAAACACAGAGGAGAGAACATACCCCATAGCCCAGACTTTGAGAGAGTGTGCGTCTCGATGCCAGCCGTTGTAACTCCTGGTGAGAGAAATAAAAACAGCACTCTTATTTATTTACAACATAACTTAAGGTAAACTTTACAACATGTAAACTTAGTGCAACCTGTACAACATGTAAATAGGAACTGTAAGACTAGGGTCTGAATCAAGCATTTCTGAAACTCTTGTGAAAGGACAGTAAGGTACATACTGGTATACGTCTCGTCGGTTGGCGTTCTGAGGGTAGAGGCGTATCTCAGGGTAGGCTCTGACCCCCTCTCCCTGGCAGAAGGAGTGGTGTTTCTGACAGTCCACCGTCCCCACCTTTATCATACCATTCAGCGCCTGAGGAGACAGAAGAGACATCAGCAGACAGAAAACCAGGAGGAATACAAATTATTTGCTCGAGTGGACGACCATTTAGAAAATCTTGGAGACAAATGCATTTAGTTGGATTTATTGATGACACCCACCCACCCTAGAATGAAATGTGATAATGCTCATACCATATATATCTTTGCTAGATTCAAGCCACCCGATATCCAGAGAACACATCAGTGGAAGCTCTGTTGCTGTGCCTACCCGTGCCATTCTCCTCCACTCTGGCAGCAGGGCAGATATACCAGTACTCGCTACAGCCTACTACCCTACCCCCTACAGTCCACCCAGCCACACCAGGGAGCATAGAAGTCTACCATCCTTCTACCTAAGTACCTACTGCCTAGTACCTACTCTCTACTCCCTCCTGCCAACAGCCTACTCTCCAGCCTACAACCTACTGCCTGCTACTTACCAGCTATCAAAGCCACCCTTCTCCACTCAGGCAGCAGGGCCTGGCAGGGCCCACACCAGGGAGCATAGAAGTCTACCAGCATACTGCCTAACACCTACTCTCTACAGCCTACTACCCTACCATCCTCCTCCACTCAGGCAGCAAGGCCTGACAGGGCCCACACCACAGGGCATAAAAGTCCACCATCCTACTGCCTAGTACCTAGTGCCCAGGGCCTCCTGCCCTATAGAACCAGTACCTACCCGTGCCATCCTCCTCCACTCAGGCAGCAAAGCCTGACAGGGCCCACACCACGGGGCATAGAAGTCCACCATCCAGGTCTCGTTGTGTTTCCTCCTCTTTACCAGCTCTACAAAGCTGTCTGGGTCCATGGTCACCACTGTAGGGTTGACCAAGTCCTGGAAAAGTGGGGAGAATCAGAGGAGTCACTACAGTGGGGCTCTATTGTATAAAGGGGCTGGAAATTCAGAACCATTGTCAATTGGAGAGTGGTACGGTAACCATATGTTGAGTCTCTTGGTTTTAAACCTCTCTGGCGCTATAAGCACTGGCTCGCAAGGAGACAGCACCATACTGCAAACTAGGCTAATTGTAAGCTTCTCACCTGTATGAACTCCAGGATTCCATCAGCAGAGTGATGGCCCTCGTACTCATGGATGGAGGACTTGTTAAAGATTACCGTGGTCGGGTAGGCATGGATATTATACTGAAAACAGGCACATAGGACATACGTTAAATTACTGTAGTAGCTACTGCTACTTTGAGTTATCCATCAAAACCAGAAACGCATTTACAATTTGGTTGATACTCAGGGATCTGATCAGAACATCTTGAGTTTGGCTAGGGGAAAGGCCAGTTCCAATATATGAATGGAGGATGTCAGATTAAAATCAGGAGAAGTCACATCCCTGTGGATACTGAATTGGCATTGCTGCCACTGATTTTGACCAATGATTCAATATTACATCCATGTCAGGCAGATAGAAGATATTCTCTGGAGGGCAGTAGTCCCAGGTTTTAATCCCCAGTAGGTGGTGTGGTGGTGGGTGGACAAGCCGATACCCGGCCGTCTCTCACTCATTTACTGTTCAATTATCCTAACCAGATTCCACTGCAGTGGGCTCCCACAGTCCATCACTCTAATAGGGGCTGCAGGTAGCCTAGTGGGTATGAGCGTTGGGCCAGTAACCAAAAGGCTGCTGGTTGGATACCCCAAGTCGACTAGGTGAAAGATCTGTCGATGTGCCCTCGACTAAGGCACTTAACCATAATTGTTCCTGTAAGTCACTCTGGATAACAGCGTCTGCTAAATTACTAAAATGTAAAAGCACTGACTGTCATCTGTACTTTATCACACTTAGAGGCTGAAGGGCTGCAGCGGAGAGACCGGACTAAGGATTAACGTCGGTAACCAGGATCGAAAATATAAAATCACTAGATAGCCCTACTACGCCTTACTACGACACAGCCAGAGAGGAATGATAGCCCTACTACGCCTTACTACGACACAGCCAGAGAGGAATGATAGCCCTACTACGACACAGCCAGAGAGGAATGATAGCCCTACTACGCCTTACTACGACACAGCCAGAGAGGAATGATAGCCCTACTACGCCTTACTACGACACAGCCAGAGAGGAATGATAGCCCTACTACGCCTTACTACGACACAGCCAGAGAGGAATGATAGCCCTACTACGCCTTACTACGACACAGCCAGAGAGGAATGATAGCCCTACTACGCCTGTATGCCATACAGCCCAGTGGAAAGCAGTAAGAAATAAAATGCTTTGCAGATATGTATGAGTCATACTAAGGTAACTCCATTGAATGAAACAAATATTATTTAGTTCAATCACAAAATCAAAATCACATTTTATGTCACATGCGCTGAATACAACAAGTGTAGACTATACCGTGAAATGCTTACTTATGAGCCCTTTCCCAACAATGCAGTTAGAAAGTAAGAAACTAGATAAAAATAAAATAGTAACACAATAAAATAACAATAACGAGGCTATATACAAGAAGTACCGGTACCGGGTGAATGTACTGGGATACGAGGTAGTTGGGGTGATTGAGTCAGGTAATATGTACATGTAGGTAGGGGGTGAAAGGCAGAAAGTCCAGGTAGCAGTTTAATTAACTGTTCAGGAGTCGTATGGCTATGGGGTAGAAGCTGTTAATTAGCCTTTTGGTCCCTGACTTGGCGCGCCTGTATCACTTGCCGTGCGGTAGCAGAGAGAACAGGCTGACTTGGGTGATGGAGTCTTTGACCATTTTTAGGGCCTTCCTCTGACACCGCATGGTATAGAGGTCCTGGATGGCAGGGAGCTCGGCCCCAGTGATGTACTGGGCCGTATGCACTACCCTCTTTAAGGATCTGAGGGCCCATGCCATCCAGGACCTCTATACCAGGAGGAAGAGGCATTGTCGTGCCCTCTTCATGACTATGTTGGTGTGTTTGGACCATGACAGGTCCTTAGGTGATGTGGACACCGAGGAACTTGAAGCTCTCGACCGTCTCCACTACAGCCCTGTTGATGTGAATGTGGGCGTGCTCAGCCCTCTGTTTCCTGTAGTCCACGATCAGCTCTTTTGTCTTGCTGACGTTGAGGGAGAGGTTGTTGTCCTGGCATGACACTGCCAGGTCTCTGACCACCTCCCTGTAGGCTGTATCATCGTCATCGGTGATCAGGCCTACCACGATCAGCAAACTTTATGATGGTGTTGGAGTCGTGTCGGGCCACGTAGACGTGGATGAACAGGGAGTACAGGTGGGGGCTAAGCACGCTCCCCTGAGGGGCCCGGGTGTTAAGGGTTAGCGTGGCAGATGTGTTATTGCCTTCCCAAACCACCTGAGGGCAGCCCTTCAGAAAGTCCAGTATCCAATTGCAGAAGGATGTGTTTAATTCCAGGGTCCTTAGCTTAGTGATGAGCTTGGAGGGAACTATGGCGTTGAATGCTGAGCTGTAGTCAATGAACAGCATTCTCACGTAGGTGTTCCTTTTGTCCAGTTGGGAAAGGGCAGTATGGAGTGCAATAGAGTGGGGATCTGTTGGGGCGGTATGCAAATTGGAATGGGTCCAGGGTGTCTGGAATGATGGTGGGTGTTGATGTGAGCCATGACCAGCCTTTCAAAGCATTTCATAGCTACAAATGTAAGTGATACAGGGCGATACTCATTTAGACATGTTACCTTGGCGTTCTTGGGCACGGTGGTCTGTTTGAAACGTGGGTATTACAGACTGGGTCAGGGAGAGGTTGAAAATGTCAGTGAGGACACTTGCTAGCTGGTCAGCGCATGCTCCGAGTACGCGTACTGGTAATCCGTCTGGCCCTGCGGCCTTGTGAATGTTAAGACCTTTTAAAAAACAGGTTACTCACCTCGGCTACAGAGAGCGTGATCACACAGTCATCCGGAACAGCTAGTGCTCTCATGCATGGTTCAGTGTTGCTTGCCTCAAAGCGAGCATAGAAGGCATTTAGCTCGTCGGGTAGGCTTGTGTCACTGCGCAGCTCACGGCTGGGTTTCCCTTTGTAATCCGTAATAGTTTGCAAGCTCTGCCACATCCGACGAGCGTCAGAGCCGGTGTAGTAGGATTCGACCTTAGTCCTGTGTTGACGCTTTGCCTGTTTGATGGTTTGTTGGAGGGCGTAGCAGGATTTCTTATAAGCGTCCGGATGTGTCCCACTCCTTGAAAGCGGCAGCTCTAGCCTTTAGCGCAGTGCGGATGTTGCCTGTAATCCATGGCTTCTGGTTAGGATATGTAAATACGGTCACTGTGGGGACTACGTCTTCGATGTACTTATTAATGAAGCCGGATTGAGGTGGTAAACTCCTCAATGCCATCGGATGAATCCCGGAACATACACAACATGACCAAAAGTATGTGGACTTCTGCTCGTTCGAACATCTCATTCCAAAATCATGGGCATTAATATGAAGTTGGGCCCCCCTTTGCTACTATAACAGCCTCCAGTCTTCTGGGAAGGCTTTCCACTAGATGTTGGAACATTGCCTGGGGGACTTGCTTCCATTCAGCCACAAGAGCATTAGTGAGGTCGGGCACTGATGTTGGGCGATTAGGCCTGGCTCACAGTTGGCATTCCAATTCATCCCAAAGGTGTTCGATGGGGTTGAGGTCAGGGCTCTGTGCAGGCCAGTCAAGTTCTTCCACACCGATCTCAACAAAGCATTTCTGTATGGACCTCGCTTTGTGCACGGGGTCATGCTGAAACAGGAAAGGGCCTTCACCAAAACTGTTGCCACAAAGTTGGAATCACAGAACCGTCTAGAATGTCATTGTATGCTGTAGCGTTAAGATTTCCCTTCACTGGAACCAAGGGGCCTGAACCATGAAAAACAGCCCCAGACCATTATTCCTCAACCACTTTACAGTTGGCACTATGCATTCAGGCAGGTAGCGTACTCCTGGCATCCGCCAAACCCAGATTTTCCATCGTACTGCCAGATGGTGAAGCGTGATTCCTCACGCCAGAGAACACGTTTCCACTGCTCCAGAGTCCAATGGTCTTACACCGCTCCAGCCGACGCTTGGCATTGCGCATGGTGATCTTCGGCTTGTGTGCGGCTGCTCGGTCATGGGAACCCATTTCATAAAGCTCCCAACGAACAGGTCTTCTGCTGACATTGCTTCCAGAGGCAGATTGGAACTCAGTAGTGAGTGTTGCAACCGAGGACAGACGATTTTTACGCGCTGCAGCCCTCGGCGGTCCCGTTCTGTGAGCTTGTGTGGCCTACCACTTCGCAGCTGAGCAGTTGTTGCTCCTAGACGTTTCCACTTCATAATAACAGCACTTACAGTTGACTGGGGCAGCTCTAGCAGGGCAGAAATTTGAAGAAGGTGGCATCCTATGATGGTGCCACGTTGAAAGTCACTGAGCTCTTCAGTAAGGCCATTCTACTGCCAATGTTTGGCTATGGAGATTGCAAGGCTGGATCCCCATTTTATACACCTGTCAGCAACGGGTGTGGCTCAGATAGCTGAATCCACTCATTTGAAAGGGTGTCCATATACATATAGTGTATTCTAATCTGTGCTAGCAAAACAGTCCTGTAGGTTAGCGTCCGCTTTATCGGACCACTTCCGTATTGAGCGCATCACTGGTACTTCGTGTTTTAGTTTTTGATTGTAAGCAGGAATTAAGAGGATGGAGTGATGGTCAGATTTGCCAAATGGGGGCGAGGGAGAGCTTTGTATGAGTCTCTGTGTGTTGAATAAAGGTGATCTAGAGTTTTTCTGCCTCTAGTTGCACAGGAGAAATTAGGTAAAACAGATTTGAGTTTCTCTTCATTAAAATCCCCAGCCACTACAAGCGCCGCATCTGGGTGAGCATTTTCTTGTTTGCTTGCTGAGTGCAGTCTTAGTGCCGGCATCTGCTTGTGGTGGTAAATAGACAGCTACGAAAAATAGATAAACTCTCTTGGTAAATAGTATGGTCTATAGCTTATCATGAGGTATTCTAACTCAGCCGAGCAGAACCCTCGAGACTTCTTTAATATTAGATTGTGCACCAACTGTTGTTGACAAAGAGGCACCCCCCCCCTCCCCTCAGCTTACCGGATGCAGCTGTTCTGTCCTGCCAATTTACAGAAAAATCAGCTAGATTTACATTTTCATGTCCTTGTTCAGCCACGACTCTGTGAAACATAGGATATTACAGTTCAGATCACGTTGAATGGATAGTCTCGAACGGCGCTCATCCAGTTTATTTTCCAGTGATTGCACGTTCGCCAATAGAACGGACGATAATGACGGCTTATCCACTCGCTGTCTCGTTAGATATCCCGCAAGCCAACCTCTATAGCGCTGCCTCCGCTGAGTGACGGGGATTTGGGCCTAGTCTGGTATTAGCATTTTGTCCTTCGTCTCCGATTCATTGAAATCGAGTTTAGTAATCACTATTTTGATGTCCAGAAGCTGTTTTTTGTCATATGAAACGATGGCCGAAACATTATGTACAAAAAAAAAGTTAGGCCCAACAAAAAAATAAAAAGCCACAATTGGTCAGGAACCTGTAAAAACGGCAGTCATTCGCTCCGGCGCCATTATTACAAACCATCATCATGATCAATACCTTCATTATAGTGAGAGATTATGTTATAGAGTAAGGCAGCAGTTCCCAAACTAGGGGGGGGGGGGGGGGGGGGTCGCCTGATATGAAAATGGGGTCGCGGGAGAATTTCCAAAATCTCAAAATCATTGTAATGTGGTTAATCTTAATCTAAATGATATGAAAGTAAAGGGCTTTATGTTTCTAGAACGGTATCGCAATTGAGAATCGAGTCACACTTAGATGGAGTATTTGGCTGTTTTGGCTGCCAGAACCAGTCTACCTCTGAAAATAACAAGGTACTTGGACCTTAAGGAGTAGCGCTCACCTCCAATGCTTGGAAGAGCACTTTGGGACATACTTCCCAATCCATTTGACTGATCATGGCTCAGTTGGCATGCCGGTAAGTGAAATCGAACAGCTGATCGAGCTGTCATGTGACCGAATGCATTCACGGGTCACTACGGAGGAGTTTTGGTTCCTGACTCAAAGGGAATAACCTGCCGTCTCACTCTGAGCATTAATGCCGTGTTCAAAACAACGGGGAACTCGGAAATCTCCGACTTCCGTGCGTTCAAGACAACTGGGAACTCTAAAAGAAACGATTTGAACAGTCCTCCAACTCTGAATTCCAACAAAGGAACTCGGGCCTAAAGATCACTGACGTCATGATTTGACCTCGTATTTTTCAGAGTTCCCAGTTGTCTTGAAAGCACCATAAACTCATGGTAGGCTACCCTTCGCCAGCTCATATCTGTGTGAAGCTGGATTCAGTGCTCTCATCTGCATTAAAACCTAATATTGATCCAGGTTGGATGTGACAGCAGAGATGAGGAGCGCACGACATGCATCAAGCACACCCATCTCAGTGGTGGTGAGAAGAGAGATTATGTCTGACTAATTTGCAATCGACTGTCATAGTCCCACATTAAAAGTATGTGACGGTGAGTTGAGAAGACAATCAGAAACTGTTAGAATGCTTTTCAATTGACTGCCATAGCCCCAAATAAAAAAGTAAACATTGGCTGTTAATTCCACAATTTTTTTCACATGGTTGGGGTCGTGACAATTTTCAGATATCAAAATGGGGTGGGGCCAGGAGTTGGGGACCTAGTTAAACTCTGGGGCCTAGTTATTTACTGTGGAATTTTAGAGCGACATTCTTAGATGGCTGGCTCCTCAATACATCTAGGCCTCTATCGTGAAATATACAGAAGAATACCACATCTCTTGGTTTTGGTATGTTCTCCAGACACTCACCACGCTGCAAAGGCCCTCGTGCACGGTGCAGTCCAGTGTTCCAAACTTCATCTGACCAAACAACTGGATCGAGGCTTTCCTCAGCTCAGGGAGGAGAGCACGACAGGGCGGACACCACTACAAGGAAACAGTGTTAGTATTTGTTAATGGACCAAACCCAATGTCTCTGCCAAATCAACTGGCTCTAGTCCAATTTACACAACAATGTCTGTTTACTTTCAGGGATTAATGTTAGTCACCAACGGATTATTATTTTAGTATAGCCACACCTATCTTTTCAAACATGTAGTCAACTGTGAACATTGATAAGCAAGTAAAGCATTAGTCACTAACATTAGACTGATACTTACAGGAGCAAAGAAGTCAACCATCCAGGGCTCCTTGCCATCACTGGGGAAGTCCTCTGGTCTCAGAGTGGTGACATGGGCGCTGACACTCTCCTTAGCAAATGCTACAATGTTATACAGCACATCCTTCCCTGGAAGAGCCGAAACAGTGTTGCAAGTTTATTTGCCATTTATAATGAATACATTGGAAATCTTACTCAGCAAGCACTCATGATAAAAAACACAATAAATGAATCCATAAAATGTGCATATGTATATACTGTACAACAACAAGTGAAAAGGTACGCAGAGTGAATTAAAAAACAAATACAAAACTCCTGTGTTTGAATAAGACGTGGACTTACCATGGTGTATCTCAAAGTCATGAATCCCAAGGCCTTTAAAGACCGCGATGCAGGGCTTTTGAATGTAGAAGGAGCCACACAATTCTGACTCAGTAAGGCAGTCCACCTTTCCCACCTGAGAAAAAGCACAAAGTACTGTCCGTTTTAAACAGAAAGTATCCAGACTGAAACAGTGCCGTGAATCAATAGTGAAACGATATAGAGCAATATTCAGTGTAGATTCCAAGCTACACCTTACCTGTATGTGGGCCCCCTTCAGAAAAGCATTGAGCTTCTTATACTCATGAGACTCTATGGTCTTCTGTCCAAAGGAAAAACTGACCAGCCACCGATGATGGGCCAGTTTACTCTAGAGACATATGTATAACAGAATAGAACACAACAGAATAACTGTATTTTTCCTAAATATTTCAGCTTCACCACTACAGGTGTGTTCCCAACTGAAATCATGTCAGACAATAGACGATTTCATATCAAATATCTGCGGCTACCATTAGTAGGTAGGCCTATTAATACAAAAAATGAGGAAACAGGCCATAGCAGCCATAGCAGACGCTGCCATAGCAGACGCTGTGCTAAGAACTAACCCCCACCCCCCACCGACGATTTTTACTGTACATTAGATTTATTGTTGGGTTATTATTACTGTACCTTAAAGGTGTCCTTAGTAAGAGCCTCCAGGTCAGGCAGATGCTGCATCACCTCTCCATAGATCTCTCTGGTGTCCAAACTCTGCAGAAACTGTTGTGATAAAACCAATGTGTTTGTTGTAAAACTGTGCTTTCACAACCGTTACGATTCGATCATAGCATCTCGATAGAACATTTTTATAAATTATCTTAGCGATGTATGGTGAGGATTCTTCATAAACCCTCCTAGGTTTCTCTATCTCACCTACAAATACATTTCATATTGTACTTGCTTTTGTTTTTACTGTGCGCAAACAAAACTATGGGCCTCTCTTACCAGCACGCTGCCCTTGCTCTTCAGTGAACTGCCGGGAGGGAAGAAGGCTGTTGTGCTGGTGGTCACCTCAAAGCTGTCACACAACTCAGCCTGTGTAGAGCAGTCCATCCAGCCCACGTTCACTAAACCCTCCTGATGAGGACACGAGAGGAGGAGACATAATCAGTCAAAATAACAAAGTATGTTCATGGGAAGGTAAGCATACAGCATGGGTTTAATGAGGACTTACCAACATTCCTGCTAATTTGTGCCTCGTCTGTGACTCTAGACAGTCTATGAAAAGATATCAAAACAGACAGTATTTTTAACTATATAGAAAAGCAGTCATACCAAGTTCATTTGTGAGATACTGGTTTCACCAATTCCGACTAGGAGTCTCTTAATTTGTAAACATGACAAAGCATCTCAACATTACCCTTAAAGGGTTGCAGGCAATGAGGCTATTTATCTACTTCAGTCAGATTAACTCATGGATACCATTTTTATGTCTCTGTGTCCAGTTTGAAGAAAGTTAGAGGCAGTTTTACGAGCCAATGCTAACTAGAGTTAGTGCAATGACTGGAAGTCTATGGGAACAGCTATCTGTTCCCATAGACTTCCAGTCATTGCACTAACGCTAGTTAGCAATTGCGCTAACGCTAGTAAGCAAATTCCCTCAAACTGCACAAAGAGACATAAAAATGGTATCCACAAGTTCATCTGACTCTGGGGAAGTAGACATTGCCAAAATCCCGAAGTTTCCCTTTAATAGCCCGTCTTACCTCCTGAGTCAGAACAGAAGGTGATCAGCCATCCAACTCCAGATGAAAACGCTGCCTCAATCTCAGTGAAGACGTTGCCTTGCCACAGCTCTGTAACTCCGCTCATCACAAACTGCATGCCAAACTTAGTCAAACTCTCCTTGCACCTATCTCCAAAGTATTTCTCTGGATTCTATTAGAAGACAGAAAAGGTCAGTTTTAGTGTTGTTCCTAACACCATGATCAGTGATATGTAGCCTGGTTAAACCACCTTAAGAGTCTATTGACGCACCCGTCTGTCAATCTAAGTAACATAATAAACAAAAAAAAACTTTTACAAAAAGAATGTGTCCAAAAAAACAACAATATTTCCTGAGCTAAATGTCTGTTTTGCTATTTATGAATGTGTTATTCAATGCGTTTCTATGGGCTACAGCAGTAAAGGCCAAATTCAATATTTTATCTAATATTTTTGTATTTTTTGATACATACAGGGGTCCTAAAATTCTAAATCAAATAGCTAAATGATCCATGGTATGACCATCTTAAAACAATTCCATGTTAGCTTAGTAGAACCCCCCTCCACGTTTAGAGGTTAAACCAGATTGAATGATTCGCCAAAACAATGGTGAGCGCAGCATTCAGTCTGGTTTAACCAGGCTAAGTGATGCATGACAGAGCCATCCTAAAGGAAGCAGTGATGTTCCTCCTACCATTCCAGCTTTGTAAATGTAGAGGCTGGGGTAGCTGTTGATGCCTTTGCTGCGACACAGTCTGTTGTTGTCTCCGCAGTTCACTGCTCCTATCCTGATCACTCCATCCATCTCCTTAGCAAACTCCCTCCACTGCGGACACACAAACACAATAAGTAACATAACATAATGTTGAAATATTAAACATAGATAACAATTATCAAAGGATGAATAAAATAATTTACAAAAAAGGTACAATCTGCAATATTTACTACTGTTCAACGGATGCTAATTAAGTATATGAAACAACCAATGAATAGCTGTAAATATTGCAGATTGCACCTTTAGAGTGAGTGAGGAAAGTATTACCGTGGGAGCCAGCTCATGACAGTGATGACAACGAGGGAAGTAGAAGTTGACAAACCAGAGTTCCCCAGAGTTCACTGCTGCATCTATGGTAGTAAATATCCAGTCAGTATCACAACAAAATGTACCACAACAACCAAACATACCACAAGGAAAGTTGGCTCTGAAGGTTTGGAATAGTGTGACATCACTTACCGAAGTCTCCCCTATCTAAAGTGACAATCTCTATGTCATCATCGTAGATACCTGCAGAAAAAAAGACAAGAGTATGATAAGTCACACCAACTTCCCAAAGGAAATGACTGAAAATGTTGCATGTCGTTAGCTGTAGCCTATCAATGACTTTTCTTCATATGTCTTGTCAATGTTTGCATTTCACAATCTTAGACTACTTTAAAAACGATTTACCAAATTCATTTCTATAGTAGTTCCAGCTCTCATATCGTCCTCCTCCCTGCTGCTCGTCCTGCAGACCCTTCTCTCCATACTTGTCATACTTCTTCCTCAGATTGTCATCCTTCAGAACTTCATATGCCCGGGTTACCTTCAGGAACTTGTCGTGCGCAGTTTCATCATGCTGGGAAATGAGAACATAAATCAAGTTCTGGACTTCGTGGAAAATCACTAGCCTGGTCCCAGATGGGTTTGTGCTGTTTTGGCATAATAATAATAAAAATATAATTGGCATGACAATGACCATAGGAGTTGGAAAGACAGCACAAACAGATCTGGGACCAGGCTAGGAAATCACCAGTATTTTGTGATATATTTATGGTATAGTCTATGATAAATGTTGCAAAAGTATATATATAATTTTTTTTATGTAAAAAAAAAGTGTATTGTAACATTAATGCACTGTTGGAGCTAACATTTCACTGCACCTTCGATTACATCTGCAAATCTGTATACGTGACCAATAAACTGATTTGAACATCTAATATAGGGAAGACTACTCACTGGGTTTTTATCTGGGTGCATGGTCAGAGCCAGCTTTTTGAAGGCTTGCCGTATTTCTCTGGTTGTGGCTTCTCTGGACACCTTTAGTAACTTATAGTAATCCTCAGAGGACACAGAAGCTACCAGGCAACTGAAGACAAGTAGGGAACCCAGCAAAATTCTGCTCCAAGGCATCTGCCCTGGATTCTGAACTTGACAGGCTAGTTTTGATTTTGCTGGTGGTAGAGATTCCATGGCCACCGGTCTCCTCAGTAAACACACAGTGTAACACGTTTCAGTGCTGGATCTCTGAAGTTGTTAGTGTCACACACACCTCATCCTAGGTAGGAGAAACAACCCTAGAATGTTCTGACGTCTGCCTGTGTAAAGAAAGATCGAAATAATTACAAAGTGATTTCTCAGATCGTGACCTCTACTAGAGACATGATTGAATGGTGACATAATTGGCCAAGTTAGCAAGGTAAGGCAAATTAAGCTAACTATGAACACAATTTTAACACTTTACATGTAATTCAGATCAGTGTTTCTTTGCAGAGATGCAAGATCATACGATCATAATTTGGCAAGGATCTTGCATCAATTACTTCTTCACAAGCTACAAGGCTAGCTAGCTATTTCAGTGTACAGAGACCAGGCTAGCTAGCTAACTTAGTAGCCCAATATGTACTAAGCGCTACTCCTTAAGGTCCAAGTACCTTGTTATTTTCAGAGGTAGACTGGTTCTGGCAGCCAAAACAGCCAAATACTCAATCTAAGCGTGACTCGATTCTCAATTGCGATACCGTTCTAGAAACATAAAGCCCTTTCCTTTCATATCACATCAAAAAAAATTGAGAATCAGGGCTAGCTAGCTAGTAGTTATATCTCAAGTAAGTTAACGTTTTGTCGCTAGCTAGCTACCTCATCATTTGGATCAGATATTTTCTCTACACAAAAAAGAAGCCGCTAAATGCATATACCCTGAAATCTTGCAACGTTACCTTGACAGAGTCACTTGTTGGCACACTTCTTATCCGGGTTTTCAACTTTTGACGTCAATTTGACATAAACGGTATTCCATCTAGGCATGACCCATGTACGACCTAGCGACTCCGGGTGTGATGAGATAACTCGATCCGGTGGAATACGACTATACGAGCGCTAATTTCAGAGAGCGCTCCGTAAGCCACGCCCCAGAGGGCAGAGCAAGCCATGTTGGACTGGGACTCGTGTTAATACGCTGAAAAAGTCTCTCATTTTACAGGGTCCGCAATGGTTCTGTGTAGCCTAGTTATGCTAATATATTTGAGACCAGTGTATTGCAGTTAATTTCGTCTTTGACTTAATAAGTCAAATATATTTGAGTAGTAAACAGGGAAACAACAACGAGTCCCAGACAGTTCGCAAAATAGAACATACCAGAGGGGGCATCGTTTACTAGGTCTGTGTAAATTATGGCCGGCCGGACCTACCTACAGTGAGGGAAAAAAGTATTTGATCCCCCTGCTGATGTTGTATGTTTGCCCACTGACAAAGACATGATCAGTCTATAATTTTAATGGTAGGGTTATTTGAACAGTGAGAGACAGAATAACAACTGTTAAGTTGCGTCAATTCAAATCTGGTATTTGGGACAAAAGAGGTCAACACGACTTCTAAGCAGGGACGGCTTGTTCAATAGGGCGATATGGGCGACGCACTGCCAAACGGGAAAAGGAAGGGATTTTTTTTCTAATCAATTATAAAAATAAAAAAAAATAAAAAAAATATATATCATTTTTTAAAATAAATTTATAAAAAATTATATCACGGCAACAGCAGTTATCAGTGTTCACGTCTGATCTGACAGCCACTAAATGTCAAATCAGGCTAAAGTCGTGCTTCAAATGGCCCCGCCCGTTTTTTGGGCGATTTCAGTCAGGTTGAAAATCGCCCAGAAGTCTCTCATAGCCTGTCATGTAAAATCTATTTTTTTCACATTTCAAAGCTTTCAATACATTCTCTATGGGTGTCTGTGGGTTTGCACTTACGCGCTTTCGTCATACATAACGTAACCACGAATGAACGTAACTAAGAAAAGACCAGGTAGCAGCCTCAATCAATTCACTACTACTATCAAAATGGCTAGGCTTCAGTCCAACTCGATTGTGTCTTTGAAAGAAGTTCCTTTTTGTCGGCGAACAAATTAAGATAAATTGGCAACGAAACAATTAGGACCTCCCAGACCAAATTTAATAATTCAACAGGTTTCTACTAAAGGCGGAAAGTCCTACACCCGAGGATTTTCCAAAAATTGGTACGAACGAAAAAAGACATTGCCACTCACTCAACTGGATGACGAGGGATACAGGCTAGCTGTCCGCCGCCACAACGATGAGGTTAGTGTTGATAATCACAAGTTTACTGGATGTGGATATGGTGTAATAAAGGCAGTTTATTCAGAGGTAAATATATCTGGAATCGCGTTCACGGACCCGTTCGTCAAACTCTTAGGGAGCTATAAATTAAGCCCCATTACTTACCATATCAGATAAGAGAAATTGCTGCAGCTACATATATTTTACATCCTGGCCCTACATAGTTCACTATTTGCATCACTTACCAAAATATTACATGTGGTCATATATGCTTGGAAAGTGGAGATGCCATAGAACGTCAAAAAAGTAAACATTGCTGGAGACACATTGTCGTTTTGGAGAAGACATCGCGTTTGCTAGCGAAGAGATTTGTTGTGGCAAATGAACTTGGGCTGGGAATTGCCAGGAACCTCACGATAAGATATATGCATCAGCATTGCGAGTCTCATGATTCTATACGTATTGCGATTCGATACTGTGATTTTATTGCGCACCATATGTCTGTTGCAGAGGGATCAGAAAGCCATGAGAACGAGTTTTGATCAGTCATGGAAATAAAAGTGCTGAAAACTAATTGGCTCCCAATGTGAAAAGATTGAGAACAAGCTATGAAGGAACAATAATGGTGTTTTGGTGCAGGTACAGCCAACTAGCGCTAAAATATTGCGATATTGTCAATACAGTATATCGTAAAGTATCACTATGTAACTCGATTTCTTTCACCCCAATCCCTCAAATTAACGGTAAATAACTGAATTGTTTGCCCCACATTTAGCTAAGATGATTAGCTAGCCAGCTAAAATGTTTTATTTAGTTAGCAGTCGCATCTACAATAGTTTACTGTCAATAACATGTCTCCAAAAATGACGTGGTGTCTCCAATTGTGTTGACATTTTACAATTGCAATGCGCATCCATGAGTATCCACTTTCTGTAGCTCAGCTGGTAGAGCATGGTGCTTGTAACGCCAAGGTAGTGGGTTCGATCCCCGGGACCACCCATACACAAAAATGTATGCACGCATGACTGTAAGTCGCTTTGGATAAAAGCGTCTGCTAAATGGCATATTATTATTATTATTATTATTATCTGAAGAGAGCCCCGAAACATTGTGTGCAGACATTTTATGCAATAAATGAAGTAGGTTCAATCTAGTAGTTCTGATCTTCTGATTGGTCCTGATGAGTTGGGCGAGGTCACCTCCAGGCTACTGTCACTGTTGCATTGGCTCTGAGTCGGGTTCTCTGTCTTCAAATGTTCAGCCTAAGAGAGGGGATTTTTGTGTGTGTGTGTGTGTGTTTAACAGTGATGATGTGTGTGTGTGTGTGTGTGTTTAACAGTGATGATGTGTGTGTGTGTGTGTGTGTGTTTGTGTGTGTGTGTGTCCTCAGAGCAAGAACTCGTGAGTTGGAAGAACTGAGAGGCCTATGGCGTGGGTGTTGTCCTTGGCCACCTGCTGACAAGGCTGACAAGATAGGACCCTTTTGTCCATTGTTATTGGATAGGAACAGAACTTATAACCAGCTCCTGACCTAAATAGATCTTAGCACAACATTTTACTCAACATATCATATTCCATATTCACTATAACAAATATATTTACTACGACATTAGCAAGAACCGCCACATCCTCAGCCGGCTAATCCAGTGTGTGAAGTTTTGCGGAGTGTTTGAGTTAGCTTTGCGAGGCAAAGATGAAACTGAGGGCTCCACCAACCCTGGTAAGCCAACACTTTTGAGATCAGTCAATAAATGCTTCTGGTATTGACTTATATGCTGCCCCTGTCTTCATGTTGTTGCTGGACATATCTTTTTTTTAAATGTGTGTAGGTCACCTAAATCATCAGAAAAATTGCCCCTCCTGAGAATTTTTTCAGGAGCCGCCACTGCTTCTAAGATATACTAGTATTTTAATTAATGCAAAACCTTCAACAGACTGATACAATGACAATAGATTCATTAGTCTTTGTTCCCAATTATATTCAGCCTAGACTGATACAATGACAATAGCTTTTTATGGAATATAGTGACAAATAGCATACACACTTTTATCCAATAATTCCCTATATCCCCAGCCCACCCCTGGTGGTACCTAGTCTGGGGATTTCAGTATTTTCCCAGAACCGCTCTTCTGTGGAACAATACTCAATATACCATGGCTTTTAACATCACATTCACCACAGGTTTACATGTCACAATATGGTGCTTATCTACTCATAATAGTTTCATAATTTAGTTCACTTACATCAAATAGGTGTTTCATAAAATTAATTTGGATAAAGCCAATGTGCAGAACTTTAGTTATAATAGGTGTCTGCTTACCTTTTTAAGTAGTCCGGACGCTTTGTAAAACACACGGTTCGATGACAGTGATTTTCAATAGGCTGGGTGAATTCCAGCAAAGTCCCTTCTACCAGATCACAGTCGGTGGTCACCAATTGTTAAGTTGCGTCAATTCAAATCTGGTATTTGGGACAAAAGAGGTCAACACGACTTCTAAGATATACTAGTATTTTAATTAATGCAAAACCTTCAATGGTAAATATGATGTTCGTATATACGGGTCCACTGAAATACCACGCAGGGCAGACAGAGAACTAAACCATTGTTTACAGGTACTTTCTCAAATACTCTGACAGAGAGTTCCCACCTCTTCTGTTGGCCAATCAGACTGAGTGTGGTTTAGACTTTATTCAGCCAATCCGTTGGCGCACGGGTTAGTCCCACCCCTTGGCGCTCCACCGTTCTCAGGCATAAGTTGCTATCATAATAACCTGTGGAGTCAGCACCCAAAAGACACCCCTCCAATCTGTACTCCATGTACCCACGTTCAAGGACGGTTTCACAGACAACAAAGAGAGAGTGTTCGTATCTGTAAGAAATACAAGTCTTATCTGAC